GTCCTGTGCTCTGGGATAATCCCAGCCAGGAGATGTAGGGATTTCCAATATTTTGTCCAGCCCTCTGGAGATCAGCATCAGCTCACACTTGTTCCCAGCCCAGCTCTGATCTTGCAGTCCAGCTCTAGTAACTAACTTTCAGTCTTGCTTCTGAAGCAAGTTCCCACACTGTGTTCCTGCCCAGCCAGCTCCCAGACGGGGGGCGTACCCAGTGGATGTGCCTGCCTGGGGGACTTGGCTGAGTTCAGGTGCTTCACAGACCACCATACACCTAGAAGGGAACAGAGATTTTCTCTGGCCAGCAAGAGTTAGTATGGGATGAAGAGAGATGTGAATATTGGTAAGGAAGGGGGCAGAGTAGGGAGAAGGAGGAACAAGGAGCAAGGGAGCAGGCATGGGGGCTGGCTGGCACAGTGAGGGTCAGGGCATGAGCTCAGAAGGGAGGCTGGTGAAAGAGAAAGGTTGCCACTTGTGGGTAGGGCCAGACTTGCAGTGGACAGATGCACTTGGAGGAGTTAAGGAAATCTAGTCCCAGTTACTGAATCCTCACCTGGGCCCTTGTGCCAACTCCCTGCCCTGGTGAGCTGCTTGGCCGCGTTCCCTGCTAGAGTTTGGGTTCACTCCTTTCCCATCAGTCACCACTGTTTTGGTCCTGGGGTCCAGCTCAGGAAGCCACCCTGACATCTGGAATCTATTTTCTGAAACACACTTCCTAGATAGCAAGAGGTACAGCAAGTGCAAAAGCCTAGGGGTAAGCATGCACTTGGCACATTCAAGGAAAAACTGGAATAGAATGATCCAGGGCAAGGGATGAGAAATGGGATAAAAGAGGTAGTCAAGGTAACACTGCATGGAGCCTGCTGTGGTTTAGATATAGTTTGTCTCCACTAAAATTCATGTTGAAAACTTGATCCCAATGTCGTGTTGGGAGGTGAGGCCTAATGGGAAGTATTTGGGCTACAGGGGTGGATCCCTCATGAATATCTTGGTGCTGTTCTTGCTGTGGTGAGTTCTTGCTCTCAAAAGACTGTATTAGTTTTCAGGGAAATAGATTTATTCCCATGATGTTGGGTTGTTATAAAGCCAGGATGCCATCATCCTCTTTCGCATGTATCCACTTCTCCTTTGACCATCTCCTACTATGTTGTGATGCTGCACAAAAGCTCTCACCAGAAGCTAGGGGCATGCCCTGGAACTTCTTAGCCTGTAGAACCATGAGCTAAGTAAACCTCTTTTCTTTAAAAATGTTCAGTCTCCGGTATTCTTCTACAGCAACACAAAAATCGACTAAGATAAGGAATCTGGATTTTACTTTGAGTGAAATGAAGAAGATAATTGCAATTTTAAAAAACTCACAACACTTGCAAGCTAAACAGCTAAGTTGATGAAGGGTGAGCAGAAAGAAACTGGTCAGAAAAACTGGGATGTAGTCCTGGTTCTATCCATCTTTGTAACCAAAGTGTGATGCAAAGTTCTATTTCCCCTACACCTGTCTCAGAGTCCTTCTACCTAGAAGCATCCCCATCCCCAGAAGAATGCCCTGGTCCTTCCCCTCTGTCTGCTTTGCCTATGTGCAGTTAGGTCTTGCCTTAAGTCATCAAGTATAAAAAAATGTTCATGTCCCTCTTCTCCTTAGCCTGGAGAAGGGGAAAAGAAAGAACCAACAATAGTCCTGGTTAATAAAGCCTCTTAGGATATGCACTTTGTGTGGAGAAGGGGAGGGGAGGAGAGGGTACCAAGAAGGGGAAGACACTGCTACCTTTAGATGAAGGGGAACCACGAAACTAGCATGGAAGGACCTCTTCTCTACATTCTCTCTGTCATCTCTGCCTCTACCCACCACCATGTGCTCCATGTGTTGAAGACTTGGTTCATGACCTATTGTCAAACGCAGTGACTCTGACTTTGTTCATGGCAGGGAACCCTGGCCTGATTCCATAGAACGTGCACTGGTCGTGTCTGTATATCCTTCCTAGCTACCCATACTCCACCCTGTACTGTATGATGACTTTACCTTAGACCTCACCTGGCCCAGAAGCAGGTGATGCAGTTATGGTCGAGATTCTAAAAGGTCCTTGTATTCTAGTTATAAGTAATGTAGCCCTAAGAATAATCTTCTGTATAGCAAACTTCTGTACAACATATCCAAAATCAGTACACTTAAAAGACAGCTTGGAAAGTGTGTGTGTGTGCGTGTATCAACACACATATATCAAAGTCCTCAATAAAAAAATGGGCAAAGGACACAAGAGACAAATAATAAAAGAAATACAAATGACTGAAACCCTTCAAAACCTCAGCCTTTCCAGAATTTAAAGAAATGTAGGTTAGAATATTGAGAGTAGCCAGTGAACATGGACAGTAGCCAGTGTTATTTAGAAAGTGGGAAACAGACTGTCTCAAACATTACTGATGGGAATGTAAATTCATAGGACCTTTCTGCAGGGGAATCTAGCAATAGGTAACAAAATTTTAAAAAGCTGTTCCCTAACACGACAACTTCACTTCTAGAAACTTATTCTTAAGAAATAATTGGACAACTCCACAAGGACATATGTACAAGGATTTACAGGAAAAGCAAGCCAAACCTCCACCATAGAAAACTGGCTAAATAAATTATGCTACATGCACACTGTGGGATATTCTTTAGCCACCCAAAATAATGTAAAACAGTATTTGTTGACATGAAATGAGTGTACAATACATGAAGTGTGAAAGCTAGATTACAAAAGCATGCAATGTATGATACAATTTTTGGACACTCTATCTGCATTTCTGCATAAAAAGTCTGGAGAAAATATGTATACCAAAACGAAGTCATTATTGGTTTCCTGTGGATTATAGGATTTTAATTTTTACTTTTTAATATTTTTCTGTACTTCTTTGAATTTTAAATAATGAACATTAGTGACTTTTAAAATCAGATAAGACCGGTAATGTTGCAATGCTCTGGAAAGTGAAATGAAATACTCATCAGCAGATCTCAGTAGAAAGGAAATCTCTTTCTCTTCCATTCCCACCCCGCAGCCAATCCATCATGCCATACTTCGGATAGGATTACACTTCAACTCTCTCAGGCAGATGAGCATCTATTCTATTTTTAAAAGCTTCCAGAGAAAGAGGCTTCAAAATTTCTCTGGGCAATCCATCCCAGGGTTTATCAAATCCATCTGAAAGAGAAATTTCGCCTTATGCCTAATCCAAAACACCTGTGCTGTGATTTAAGCCATTGCTTTTCTCCTGTAACTTCCAGTGAAAGTAGGAAATGGTGACTGCCATTTGTCCTAATCAAAAGCAATTATTTTCCAGAATATCTGAAATTATATACATCCTGCAAGTTAAACATACATGCATGCATACACACACACACTCTCAGGACTCTCTAAACAGGCAAGATCATACAAGCAAACATTAAATTCTGGGCCTGAGGGTTAATGGAAGTCACCACGTAGAAAGCCCACCTAGGCTGTTCTGAAGCACAGAATTGCAGCTGGAGCTTGTTCATCTCACTCATTTCAGTGGTGGCAACATCAGGAACGCACCCTTCAGCAGGAACAAGGGCTACAGATGTTGCAGGAAGCTATCTCAGACTGCTCTAGTTGATAAGGAGGTATACCACTCCCAAGCCTTGAAAAAATGGAAGAGAACAATGGTTTGCTGGTGCTACTGGCCAGTGTGAAGGATGCATTGTGACAGAAGCCTTTTTATCTCTATGTCCTACAACTGCTCCTCTGTCCCTCTCTCCCCTCCTCTTCCTAGTGTTCCCTCCCTCTCAGCTTCAGACTTCTTTCCTTCATCCTCTCCTGCTCAACATGTTGTCCTCAATGCCACCTCAGCTGTGTGTTGTCTGTTTGCTATGTGCTAGACACTTCTAAGAATGCCACATGTCCTCAGCTAATCCTCCCATCCACCCTGTTAGGTGGACACCATCATCTCCATTTAAAGTAGTCTCATCCAAGACCTCGCTCCTCTACTCGCTGGGCGCCAGATGGTCTCCAGGAGCACCCTCTGGAGTCACAGGGAGGTTTCCTGTCCCTAGAGGGGTGGGTGGGGAAATGTGCCCAGGAGCCTGCCATGACTAGGGACCAAGGGAGCTGAGCAGAGTGGAGTCGTGGAGACACCACAGGCTTTGGAGCCTGGAGCAAATGCTGTCATCAACTCCACCCTTATCCCTTGGACATTCATGCATAAGAGATGACCTCTAGTCACCAGTCTACAACTCTGAGCCTGAGGGCTTTTTCTCCCCAAGCAGTAAGCCACCGTGACCCTGGGGCAGCCCTCCACCAGTGACTCTCAGGTGTTTGCGTAAAAGTACCCCAGCTCCCTTGGCACTTGAGTGGAATAATTCTGGGATGTGAGTTTTGTACTATTTCGCTTGGGACTTTGGCACAGTTGTACATAGCTGATACAAGCAGCTGATATAACAATGCACCCCTTTCTGACTGCCTTCGTTTCCTGAGTCACTTCCCACTGCTCAAAAAACTGCCTCCACTTGAGTCATCATCTCAGGTTGTCCTCCTGGGAAAACCTAACTAAGAGTCTATGACAGACTTGGTTTGAATTTTGGCTTCCATGCTTTCATTCCATATGACATTTGACACACTTTAACTCTCAGAATATTGGGGTGAGGTGTTACAGGGGTTAAATTTCTTTGCATTTGAAGTCCTGGTAAACAGGCAGTCAAGAAATGGCCATTCTTACTGTTGCTGGGAAGGTGATGCTGTTGCTATACGGTAGCTATTCCTTTCCTAAATAAGAATGAAAAATATCTCCCCTCCTAACACTTCCGGAAACAACACCAAGGGCTTGTACCTGGCTGCTCTCCAGCACTGTGCCAGGAAAGTAAAAAGCAAATGTGACCCAGTGTGAAATCCTGCTGTCAGATGCGTTCCTCAGAGTTCAGTTTCCATTTCAAAGAAATAAAATTGCAAGTAACTTTCAAAGAATGAGTTCTCTCAAACTGTTGCGCCTACTTGATAATTAAGAGACGCGAATTCCTTCCTTGGGGAGAGTCTTTTAATGCTGTCAGAGTATTTCCATCCAACTCTTTATAAACACATTTGATTCTCATGTCTGATCCTCGTGTCTGGATAGGCTAGGTTAGGCTCCATAACAACCAACACAATCTCAGTGGATTAGCACAACACATATGGACTTTTTGTTTGCTCTCTCATGGTCTGCTGGGGGATCCATGCCATGTCATCTGCAGGATCCACATTGACAGAGCAGCCATCACCTGCAGCACAGCTGTTCATTATGGCAAAGGAAAAGGACACTGGGCAGTGTTCTGCACGAGCAATCCAATGTTGTGCTCCAAAGCCTCATTCTCATTTCCTCTCGTGTTACTGGCAGGATCTGTCACAAGGTCAGGAAGTTGATCTTACCATGTACCTAGAAGGCAGACAGCAGGAAAGAGTTGATGTATAGAAGTAGTGACTATCACTATATGATTGCATCCATTTCATTATGGAAAACATGAGAAATGGCAAACATGCTTTTCTAAAGTCACCAGGGAGTGCGGGCAAAGCTAGGCCTAGAATTCTGGTGTGGTCTTTCTCCCTGAGATGTCTAAAGAAGACTACATTGTGAGACAATGAGAGTCCCACCCCATTCCTATCTCTTTCCCAAACACAACAAACTTTAATTGTCTTCATAATTGTTCTGTTGACTGGCAAGCTCAAGGGCAAGGATTGACTGATCAATGATGGTGACTCACTGGCTGAACTTGTGAATTGGGTAATAAAAGGATCTTTTAAACAGTAGGCACAGTAAAAGGAAGTATGTAAAAGTGGCTTCTTCCTCTGGCCTACTGTCTTGTCCCCAGAACCAGGTGGTATCCTCCAGCCTGGAAGATGATAAAACACTCACTTGTATCTTCAGTCCACGGTGTTCTCCCTTGGATTGTTGAAGTTTCCACCCAGTAGTATCCCGCAGCCTGCTCATATCAGCCTGCAAGAACCAATTGTATGCATGTTTTGTATCTTTTCTCAGCTTCACATTCAGGGAAGTCACAGGGGTGGCTTGAAGTCAGCCATGGCAGGAGTACTTACACCACAGCAATTGGTGAAGCTACAAATCCAGCTTTGTTCTCCCAGAGAGCTGGTTGTCAAACCTGTCTCAGCATATCATGGCTTCTGCTCTCAGTTCGTCACATACAATTGATTTTTCCTTCATACTCTTGCATGGCTTGTGGGCATACCTGGATCCTTGAGGACTTGAGAGCTTCTCTGAGAAGGAGGGCTCTGCCTCAACTCTTTTTAAAGTTCTTCTCTTCCTGGGCATATACTTATATGACACTTGGTATTTGCCTGGTATATTCTAATCTCTTACATGTATAAACTCTCTAATACTTCAAACAACCCTGTAAAGAAGGAACTATTATCTTACAGATGAAGAAACTGAGGCACAGAGAGAATAGGGAAATTATCCCAGACTCCATAGCAAACAAGCAGCAGAACCGGGATTTGCACCCGGATAGTCTGGCTCTCACATCTGTACTTGTAACCACACTCTACTGCCTCTCTCTTAGAGCACATACTAGAAGAATAGGAAGGTTTTAATTAATTAGAAAAATAATGTTCAATGTCACTTTTCTGAATATCCAATATCAGTTATGTCTGGCAAGCACATTGTTAAAAGTGGATTCTTGCCCTTGCTTCATATTCATCTATTGAATACTGGCTGCATGCCAAGCTCTGTGCTAAGTGATGAAAAGGATACAAGGATGACAGTAATATGAGAGAACATTTATTGTGCTTTTATGAAATAGGCACTGTGGCGGGTGCTGAAAGGGTTATAAAGACAATGATAATGACGGGTGATGACGATGATGGCAATGTCACCATTATTTGAATGCTTTAATATGTGCCACACATTGTGCTGAGCACCACTGTGTTTCAACTTTGCCATGCCTTGTGAGACAAGTATTTGTCCTTCTGTGCCCATTTGGCAGTTGAGGAAACTGAGGCATGGGGGGGTGTCAGAAGCCACATAGCATGTCAAGGAGTTCACAATGGAAGCTGCTTCATCTACACTGTCTACAAGGTAGTAGAGTTAGGTCCTTCGGGGTTTCTCCCCGTTGCCTGCAGGCATAGCTAAGTAGTTTCATGGATGTTCTAGCTCAGTTCTGTATACTTACTTTTTGGCATCAAGGAGAGCTTTGGTGTTGTCAATCCAACACCCCTTTTGAATACAGATAAAATGGGGGGAAGTCTAGCAAATCAAAAGTAAAATGATTTTTCTAAACTTTAAGAAACATGAATCATTAGCATTCAGAGGATGGCTACAACCAGCATAGATACCCTTGCTATTCATTGAGTTTAACATATGGTGCCAATGAGACCAGAAACTCATTAGGTACTCAATAAGAAGCTTAAAACCAAGGTGACGACCTCTTCTTTCAACATATACCCCACTTTGTTACTAGAACCTCCCATGGGAAAATCTGCAATATGGATAAAACTTTGAATTTAGAATTATCACAATTAACTTTGGAATTAAACATCATTATCAAATAGCTGGATACACTTTTAAACAAATATGGTAGAACTTATATTTCTCATTTCAATATTTTTATCTTTAATGATGTTACCATTGAAGATTATTCTCTCATTCAACTGTGTTACCACTTAAAAATATTGATGGCTCTAATTTTAGAGTTGTTTTCTGGTTTAATCTAGGAAATGTGCAGAAAAAGCAACCTAGTGTGTGTGCATGTGTGCACATGTATGTGCCTGTGCATGTATGTGTGTGGCTGTTACTGTGGAGTCCAAATTTCTGGTTCAATTCAATTAGCCACCTTACCGAGTATGCTTAGTTGTCCATGACTTTGTGCTCTAAAAGTAAAATCCACCTGCTACAAACATTGTAACCACAAAAGAGAGCCAAAATAACATGCTACGGGCTCTGCTGGGCAATTCTAAAAGAATAGTTCCCCAAATGGCTTGAGCAACAACGTCACTAGAATATGCAAGGTGAGTTCTTTGAAGATAAACTTGCTTATTTGTGGGTTTTTTTTATTTTTTGTTTTGTTTTATTTTATTTTTGTTTATTTTTGTTTTATTTTATTTTACTTTATTTTATTTTTGAGATGGAGTTTCACTCTTATTGCCCAGGCTGGAGTGCAGTGGCACAATCTTGGCTCATTGCAACTTCCACCCCCTAGGTTCAAGTGATTCTCCTGCCTCAGCCTCCTGAGTAGCTGGGATTACAGGCACCCACTCCCACGCCTGGCTGATTTTTTGTATTTTTAGTAGAGATGGGGTTTCACCATGTTGGCCGGGCTGGTCTCAAACTCCTGACCTCAGGTGATCCACCTGCCTTGGCCTCCCAAATATTTGTGTAATTTTTTAAAGGGGATTTTTATCCCACTATTTCAAAAAGATTTGAAGCAGTCACTGACAGTTTAAATCAGTCACATTAGTTTATCCTAGCATTTCATATGACAAAATCTCTAGGAAATGCTTATTTTTGTTCAGATGAGAAGAAAAAAGACAAAGCCTTACAGTGAAGGGTGTGAACGGAGATATTTGGAGAGAAGAGATCATAAAAAACTTCATTTAAATATGAATTTAATACAATAAAAAGACATCACAAACAAATGGGATAAGGGGAAATTATTTTAAATCCTTGCCTTACATTATAGAACGAAACAAAACAGAGACAAGTGAAAGAGCTCAGTGTGAAAAATTACAATGACAATGACAAGTGCTGGCAAGGATGGAGAGAAACTGGAACACTGTTGATGAGAGTGTAAAATGGGGCAGCCACTTTGGAAGATAATTGGCTGTTTCTTAAAACGTTAAGCATAAATTTACCATATGTTCCAGCAATTCCACTCCTAGGTATCTACTTAAGAGAAATAAAATATATGTCCACACAAAATCTTGCACATGAATGTTCATAGTGGTCTTATTCATAATATCGAAAGGGGCACACAACCCAAATGCCCACCAATGGATGAGTGAGTAACCATGGCATATCCATCAGTGGACTATTATTCAGCAAGGAAAAGAAACGGCATACTGATACATACTGCAACATGTCTAAACCTTAAAAACATTGTACTAAGTAAAAGGACTCAGTCAAAAAAGACCCTATATTTGTGATTCCATTTATATGACATGTCCAGGAATAGGGAAATCCATAGAGACAGAAAGCTGATGTTTGCCTAGGACTGGGGTTAGGAATGCAGAGTAATCACTCAACGGGGCATGAGGTTTTTCTGGAAGGGGATGATAAAAATGTTCTAAAGTTAGATTGTGGTGGAGTTTACACAACTGTGTAAGTTTGTTAAAAATCATTGAATTGTTTATTTGAAATAGGCCAGGCACAGTGTTTCCCACCTGTAATCCCAGCACTTTGGGAGGCCAAAGTAGGCAAATCACTTGAGTCCAGGAGTTCAAGACCAGCCTGGGCAACATAGGAAGACCCTGTCTATACAAAAATTAGCCAGGTGTGGTGGCACGCACCTGTAGTCCCAGCTAAATAGAAGACTGTATTGGGAAGATCACTTGAGCCCAGGAGGTCAAGGCAGCAGTGAGCCATGATCACGTGACTGCACTCCAGCCTGGGCAATGGAATGAGACCCTGTCTCTAAAAAGTAAAACATAATAAAATAAGTGAATTTATGGTATGCAAGTTATACCTAAATAACACTGTTAAAAGTAAGTACTAATACCTTGACTATCTTCTGTCGATCTCTGGTTCCCAAACTTACATTTAATGTGAAAAATAACAAAGGGATGATATATAAAGATTTTATACACTGTAACACAAAATAAAATAAAATACAAAGACTAAATTGACAATAACATTTGCCATACATAAGGCAAAAAGTTAATTTACTTAGTTTGTAAAAATTTCATAGAAATCTGTAATAAAAGCATAGGGAGATCTCAATATGTAAATAACAAAGGGCATGAACAAACTAGTTCACCACCCCTTTGAAAAATTACTAAACAAATGAAAATATATTCAACCCTAAGAATAATCAGAAAATGTAAATTTAAAGAGCTATAATTTTCACCAATTAAAACAGGAAATATATTTTAAGAACATTATTTCGTGCTCATCTGGGCATGGTGGGACAAATCTACTTGCATGCTGTTGGATTAAATATAAAGGAGAACATCATTTTAGAAATAAAATTTGGTCATTTGTCCCAGATACCTGAAAAATATCTACCACCTTCGGCTAAATAATTCCACTAGCTTAAGAAAATAATTTAGGATGTAGAAAAGACAATGTATAAAGATGTTCAATTGAGGAGTATTTATAATAATAAATGATAGGGAACTAACTGTCTCATTATCAGAGAATGTTTAAGTAAACTCTTCAACATTCATACCAAAGAATACCATTAAAAATGTTTGTGAAGAGTTGATAATAATATGCGAAAATACTTGAGTTATCATATTCAGTAAAGAAAGAAAATCACCAGAGTACAAATTGTTAAGTGAAAAGAAAAAAATCACATCAGGATACAGGATCATTTCAATTAGTAAAAAATATGTAGAAAAAATGCTGGAAGGAAATAGACTAAAGTATTAACTGTCACCACTGCTGGGTAGGTGAGATTTTCAAATATTCATTATAATAATATTTTCACAGTCACAAAACATAATTTAATGCTCTTTTTAAAATGGAATTCTTCAAAGCAAAAGACCAAAGGTGGGTATTCCAGAATAGTTCATTGCCTGTGTCTCTAAGGTCATCATAACCTTACCTATCAAAAATCTGCCCTGGGTGAAGTGTCACAATGATTGGTATGATACATTAAAATTTAATACACCAAAGAGAATGCTGTACTCTGTATTGTTCATATGCTTTTTAAAACAACTAACTGCTAGATTGGCAGCAGTAAGTTATTTTGCAAGAAAAAGTTAGCAAGCCACCCACCAACTGGGGCCATCCAGTATTATCCATGGCCTGTATTTGATCATAGCCTAACAGAGCAATTGCTGTCTACCATATATCAAAAGCAACCCTGCAATTAAGTCAATTCAGGCCCAAAGTCAGTCAGTGCAATGAGATAAATAAGATTCATAAAAAAACAGTCAGTTGGCATCATATGAAGCAAAACTGATGGATGGACTGAACTTCTGAGTTTTCAACTGATTTGCATAGTGCTCTGAACACTAACTGGCAGCCATTTTGCTTAAAGTACAGACTGTTTCCTGTTACACTATTTCACCAGAGCCAATAATAACTTTTTAAAAATCTTCTATAATTATCAAGGTACCAATGTTTATATTCCAACTGACAACCACCCAAGGTGCAGCCTAAATGAACTGCAGGAATTGGAGGGAAATGGCCTCCTGCCTTAGACCCAGCAGAAATCTTTAAGAAAATAGGCCTTTCAGATTTGACTTCTAGAAAAATAGCAAAGGGGCAGATTCTGACAAAAGCTATCCAGCTGAAATCAGCTATAATTCCCAGAGCTACTTCCCATTACATATTTACAAATGGATATTACAGCCCTTAGTAGCCACAAAAGTTTCCTTGGAACCCTGGAGACCGTTATGTTGTTATGGTTGTTTTTCTTCTTTTTTGTCCTTTCTGCCTAGAAATACTTATTAGACTAGGAACATCTGTACCATTAGACTCTCTAAAGGAAGTGGGGCATGCCACCAACCCAAAGTGGCCATCAAATACTGCCCTGGAGGTGAGAAATCCTAGGGTCTGGTCTTAGCAATTTCATTTACAGTAAGACTTTGGTTAAGTCAATCCTTTGGGCTCCTGGGCACTGCGTAAAAAACGGAAAGTTTGAAGAGTTTCATATTCAGTAGTTTGGCAAACCAGATCATCTGAAATTCTTCCATAAAATATAAAACAAAGCAATAATTGTTTGAAATGTATAGTTAACATCACAAGAAAGTAAAGGAAATCCTCAAAGGACAAAAAAAAATGAAATAAAGGCATGAATTCAGTATTTTTTAAATGTTAAAGGCAAGGTAGCACTGGGAACACTTGAGGGTATTCACTCAGCAGGAAGACAGACGATGAGGCCTTGGGCCCTTGAAGGGTAGAAAATCAAAAGGCAGACACTCCCTTTCTCCACCCCAACTTCATAAGTTAAGTTAGATCTTCAAAAAAACTATCTGCACCTTCAGGGAAAAGGTAAATAACAGCAAAAACAAGAACAAAACTGTCACATGGGGCAGTGGCTCTAGGTCAAAGGGGAAGTAGTCCCCCGGAGAATTAGGAACTTCAAACAAATACACATGCATTAATTCATCAAGTATTTACTGAACACCTATTAGTGCCCGTCTGTAAGCTAGACATTGAACATAGAGCAGTGAACACAGCAAGTAAGCCCTGCCTTGAAAGAGCTTATATTCCAACAGTGACGACAGACAAGAAGCAAACAAAAAAGATATGTCAGGCAATGATGCGTGCTAAGAAGAAATATGAATAAGGGTAAGCCTGTTAATAAGTGACTGGCTGGGCCGGGGTAAAATTTTATATGGTTTGGTGAAGGAAGGACTGTTAGATAATAATGTAACATCTGAGTATGACTTGAAGGAAGTGAGAAAGTGATCCATGCAGGTGTTTAGGGGACATCAAGTACAAAAACCCCTACACCAGGCCTGCCTGAGGAATAGAGAGGTGGCTGGAGCAGAGTGAACCAAAGAAGAGAGGAGAAGAGAGGGTCACAGAGACAGCAGAGGCTCAGGCCACAGAGGACCCTGTGGGCCGTGCAATGACCTGGAATTTATGCTAAGGAGATGGAAAGACCTTGCAGGATGAGTTAACATGTAGAAGGCTCACTCTGAGTGCTGTGTGGAAAACCGATTGCAGGGGAGCAGGAGAGAAAACAGAACAGCAGTTATGGATAATAGGCCAAGCAAGAGGCAATGATTTATGGCTTACACAACTTGATGTCATGGAGATGACAACCTGGCCTAACTCTGGAAGGGCCAAAAGGACGTCCTGACTCATTGGAAGTGAGTTTCAAGAGAAGGAGAAGATCAAAGGTGACTTCAGGATCATGGCCTGGCTAACTGGAATAGAGCTGGTGTCTCTGAGATGGGGAAGGGTGGAGAAGAA